TCCTGAGGTTTTAGGTCCAATACTTTATTTTCTTTTGATTCCTTTTATTTTTATCATTTTATTTCTAGTTTTAATGTTCCCTACCTTAACTAAATTTGTACATTTCCTTTTTTATATAGTATATTTCATTGTACTTTTGTGTTCTTTGGTTGCAAATATCCTCTCATTTTATTTGTCTCCTTTTTACTTCTTTTGTATATTACCAGTGATCTATTCTACATTATAATGATATACCCCACATTCATTTATATATCATATTACTTCATGATTCGACTGGATGTTACAACCAATCTAGCTTTAGCGTCTATATATGCTGTAACATTTAATTTCATTTGTCACTACATAATAAAATGTTAAAGTATAGAATATGAATTACGTTTACGTTTAGTAACTTTCTTTTTTGTTCTATATTTGTTTCGTGGGGACATACTTGTGAAAATTGTAAAGACAAATGAACTATTTTCTTATACTTCTTTTATTTCATATAATAGTAAATTTTTGATTTTATAAATAAAATCCTACGCATAGTTATAAAACTTGGATTTAATTAGAGGCTTAAAACATCAATTCTTTATTTTAGCAATAAAGAATACTGTTAATGTGTTAAAAAAGGCGCTTTTACAATTAACTTGTAATATTATATGTTAGATTAAGTTTTATCTATATAAATTCTAATTTTGGTGACAAATAATTCTATTTTCAGTGACAATTAAAATTAAAGAATTCTATACTATTTGTCACCGAAATTAAGATACAGAATCAATCATGTATTGTTTTAGAATTGTCAAAGCTTTCTTTGTTAAATTAAACACCATGTGATTATGAAAGATTTGTGTTACCATTACGTTAAGTTCTTTTTTGTAGGGCACTGCGCATGTATGTTGTGAAACTGCTGAGTTTGGACTTTGATAAGTGTCCTTGACTTCGAATAATATTTGATTCATCTTTCAGGTCACGTGTTTTGTAGGACCCATGGGCCGCGAAGTCACAATCGAATTTGAATTGCGCAGGTATTTGGTAACAATGGATTTGATCACAACCTAGTGTTATTTTTTATTGCAAAGAAATTTTCACCATATATATAATGGATGCTATAACAGTTAATAACTTTACTAACTATATCATTATTACGTATTTTACTAAAATATACATCGATGAATTAGTGTTTCAAGCCATGAGGTTTTTATTGGCTGGCTTAGCCAGCCGGCAAAAAAATCAGCTAAGCAGCTGGCTAATGACTAAAGCCAAATTTTTTATCTTCAGAAATTATTGGATATTTACTCAAATTTTTTTTTTCATTCTTGCTCGTATTTTATGTTCGATCATTTTCTTTTTGAAACCTATAACTTAATTCTGCCCGGAATTATCATTTCGGCCTAAATTATACTATTAAAGTCTTGTGATCTTAAGCTGTATTAGCCAGCTGATATATTTTTATTAGCTGACTTAGCCGGCTAAGCTGCCTTAGCCACGGCTGCTTTAGCTGGCTTGAAATACTACGATGAATATATGAATATTCAACTTTTGCCTAATTAGGACTGCATGTTTCACAATCTAGCCGAAGAATCCTATAACATATTCATTACAAAAAATTTTTAGCTCTCAAATTTTGTCAATTGAAATTGAATGAATTCTTTTAAGAATCAACTCCGTGCCTAATTAGGTATGCATGTTTCACAATCAAGCCCGCAAAAATCTGCTGACTCCAACTATAGGAAATTTTTTAGTCTCAAATTCATAAATTAAAATTGAATGAATTCTTTTAAGAATCAACTTCATTCCTAATTAGGAGTGCATGTTTCACAACCTAGCCAAGAATTTTACGTTGCAAAAATCTGCTGACTCTGCCACAGAAATTTTTTAGCTCTCAATTAGGACCTTCGAGTATTGGTTGTCTTTATATACATATACTGTAGTGAAATTACAGATCTCAATGTCATGTGTATATTTCGGCATCGATGGATGCTGAAATAATTCATGTGATTGGTTCAAGTGCTCTCTTTTTTTACAGAATTTTATTATACAATTATAAAAATGAATTTATCTTTTCACCAAAAACATTTGTCATTACGGTTTCCGAAAAAATGTTAATTACTGTATTCAATGCTCTCACACATAATTTTTAGAGCGGTCTCATAATCATTAACCCTGAGATCTTTCATTATGAACCTAACAGCCAATTCGGGAATGATAACCTCTTCTATGAATTTTTTTTTATATTTAATTGTTTTTAATTCAGGTTCCCACACATTTGTATTTTTCATCAAATATTCGTATATTATCGTAAAACCTTTCATTCCATAATATCCAGGAACTAAATAATCGAATCGATGTAGCATAGCGAGTGGTTTGCAGAGTTGCCATTCGGATAGTGATTCGAACTTTTTGTAGTACTCATAATTTTCTTTATGTTTACATATATCAATGATTTGTTCGGTAACCTTTTTGCCTTTAAGTCTTCTCATCAAGTTCTTTAACTTGGCTTGTATTTTTTCCTTACTGATTCTAAGAAAACGATCTTTGTTGATAATATATGTGAAATTATCATTATTATTATTTGTAACCATGGTATCATCATGTATCTCGATAAACTCTACATCATATTTTTCGTTATTTTTCTGTTCAGTGAAAGTTTTTATGTTTTCTAACACGGTTTTGAGAGATGGCAGTTCATCATCGTCTGAATCAGGGATTAATTCGTCGTCTGAATCAGGGATCAATTCGTCATCTGAATCAGGGATCAATATAATTTCTGACGGTTCATCTGTTCTGAGTTTTTTCACATAGTGTTTTGAGTTTAATTTATTGAAAAAAAAATTATCTTCACAAAATTTACGTTTGATAGTAGGTATGTTTGTTCGAGTGTTTTTTTTGTTCAGAGAGTCGTGGATATTTTTGGCTTTACACCAGATTTCATGGTGTTTAAATAAAATAAAATGCGTGATACAAAATGTGAGTGAGGGCCGAAGTCGGTTACCAGACTCTGCTTCAAATGGAATGGGCACAAGTTGTTTGGTGTTGATAAATGATTTCTGAAACAGGTACTACTTGAGCAAGAATAATTCCAATAATCTTTCAATATAGAATTATTTTCACTAATGTTATCTTACGCGTCCTTAATTATAATTAATTTAACCAATTTAACATCCTGGCCTCATTTTTTTCAGTGCCCTTCTCATATAAATTAGAAAGTGCAATGTAATACATGGCAGTGCTTGATAAGTTATTTTAAGAGATAGGTATTTACAAAATACACATTTCATACATTACTAAATGCAGTATTCATTTAAACAACACGCGTATAATTGAATTCTATTGTATTATGCGTGTTATTTGCAAGTGAAAAATAAAAATTTATTATAACAATCTATTTTTAAACTTCCTGGTTTATAAATGGTGACCCGTGTACATTCACATATATTAGTTCGTTATTTTTTTACCGCAATCAATTTTCCTAGCTGAATTAAAATGACAATATTCACGCACTTTTCTGATTATTACACGTCGCAAATATCTTAGTTTACATATATACAGATATATATTGACTGGGTCCAGTACTTTAGCTCCATTCCTTTGTTTGATATCTTTACTTACTGTAAAAGGGGAAAATATTCTTGAGCATTTCTGAGTGGTTAACTTATAAGTATGCTATACCTTTTCAATATTCCCTTTATTAAATTTAAAAGCGACACAACCTTTGCGTAATCAATTAAATAATTCCTGAAGCTAGTACAATCTTGAACAAAAATTCTTGCACATTTCCGAGTGGTTAATTTATCGTATATTATACCTTTTCAATATCGATTTAATTTGGAATTCTATACACGAAGTGTTTTAAGATTAATAAGCATATATATGATGAGTGATTGATGAAACAAAGAATTATGTATTACGTGTAACTATTAAAGTCTAGAGATGGTTTTTGAAAGAATGCTATTCTTACGTGCATAAGTTGATATTCTTATTAGTTATTAATTCAAAATGATTATAAATATTGGTCCTGTTCATTGCTTAAGTATTAAAATTTTCGAATCGCAAATATAGATAAAGCAAAAAATATTTTTTTTAAAAAAACCCATTTTCAATAAAAAGAATAAATTTCAGAAGAGACCGAAAATGTTTTTCGAACGAGAAAAAATCAAGTTTGATCAATATACGATTTCCAAGAGACGCAAAATGCACAAATCGAACAAGGACGAAAGCGAGGATTATAGAGACGCAAAAAGAAAAAAACCAAATTTGCAGATTCCCACGAACGCCCTCATTATCGATCTCACAAGAATTGATGAAGAAACGGGCGAACCGAGAAGAACGAAGTGATCGATCTAACGATTGGTGATGAAGATGTGGCAAAACCATCTTGCATCACCGAGGATGAAAAAATCATTGAAACAGCTAGATCGATGGTTCCTGAAATCTACGACGACATGTTAATGGTTATCTTTAGACTTGTTATCGATGATATATTCGAAAACATACTTAAAGACGAAAATGTG